TCTAGAAGAATCTTATATACTATTTATTAATATATATATACTATAAATTAGGATTTTTTTAAAAGTCTTTTTTATTATAATTTAATTTTAATATACTAGATCTAGTATTCTAGAATTAATTATTTAATTATTAAAAAATATATTATATATATTATAATTCTCTAGTTCTTATAGATATTATATTACTTTTTTATAAATTTTATTATATATTTTAAAGTATAGAATAGTTTTTATATTTTATTATCTAGTAGCTTAGTTAAATACTACTTAAGTTTCTTAAGATATTATATAAATTTATATATTAATTAATATATCTATTATTTTATATTATAATAGAATACTATTACTTTTTATTATAATATTATTAAATTATTAATTATATATAGCAGGATACTATTAAAGTTAATTTATATAAGATTATATAGTTAAGTTATATATATTTATTTCTAGTTATAGAGTCTAGATACTATTAAAAATAATAATATATAATTTATCTTTTTTTTATCTATTTAATAGTATTCTAAGAATATTTAAAAATAGTTCTTTATATAGAGATACTAGTCTAAATATTTATATAAATTATAATTTATAAATTCTTTATATAGAAGTACTCTTTCAGGAATTCTATTCTTTAATTTTTAAGATTATTTAATCTTAAAGATTAGTTATTTTATAATATTCTTAAAGAAAATTATATTATAGATTAAATATTTTATAATAGTATTTCTATATTTATATATATAATTTTGATATATATATTTAATCTTATCTCTAGAGTCTTCTATTTTTTTTAATAATATTAATTTAATATGTTATATAGCTATTTCTTCTTCTCTAAGAAGTTCTTTAATATCCTTACTAATTTATAGTTTTTTTTTTTTTTTTATTAAATTTTAGAATTAGAATAAATTCTCTTTTTGTTATGTGCTGCCACCTGTAGATGCTATACAAGGGTGCCTGAGGTATACTATAGCGGCTAAGCAGCTACTATATAATATATAGATATATATTATACTACTAGTTCTTAACTAGAAGAACTAGTAATTAGTTTATTTTAAATATAGATCTATTCTTTATTAATTATATATTATATCTTTATAATCTCTAGAGAACTGCTATATTACTATTATAGTTTTATAATTCTAATTACTTCCTTTCTAGAGGCTTAATATATATAGTTATAATAAAATCTAAGATTCAGGAGTAAATCTAATATTATAATAAATAAAACTAAATAGCCTCTACTATATAAGATAATATAGAAAGAGAAGAGAATCTAGAACTACTAGATAATAAAAAGATAAATACTACTATAAATTTATATTTAATCTATAAAATAATAAAAGAGGATTTATTCTAATTTTAAAATTTAATATAAAATAAAGAAAAAGAACTATAAATTAATAAAAATATTAGAGAACTTTTTAAAGAAGAAGAAATAGCTATATAATATATTAAATTAATATTATTAAAGAAGAAGTAAGAGGCTCTAAAAATAAAATTAAATATATATATTAAAATTATATATATAAATATAGAAATATTATTTTAAGATATTTAATTTATAATATAATTCCTTTTAAAAATACTATAAAATAGCTAATCTTTAAGATTAAATAATTTTAAAAATTAAAGAATAAAATTTTTAAAAAAGTATCTCTATATAAAAAAATTTATAGATTATAATTTATATAAATACTTAGATTAGTATCTTTATATAGAAAATTATTTTTAGATATTCTTAGAATATTATTAAATAAATAAGAAGAAGATAGACTATATATTATTATTTCTAATAATATCTAGACTCTATAACTAGAAAAAAATATATATAATCCTATTATAAAGTCTTATATAGACTAACTTTAATAGTATTCTACTATAATATAAAATAATAAATATACTAATTAGTATATAAATTTATATAATATCTTAAGAGATTTAAATAATATTTAACTAAGCTACTAGATAATAAAATATAAAAAGCTATTTTATACTCTAAAATATATAATAAAATTTATAAAAAGATAGTATAATATCTATAAGAATTAGAGAATTATAATATATATATAATATATCTTTTAATAATTAAATAATTAATTCTAGAATACTAGAATATATTAAAATTAAATTATAATAAAAAAGACTTTAGAGAAACCCTAATCTATAGTATATATATATTAATAAATAGTATATAAGATCTTTTTAAAGAAAGAGAATAGAGCTATAAAAATAGTTATAAAAAATTATAAATCTATAATAAAAGTTATAAATACTATTATAATATCTAGAAAGAGATAAAAAATATAAAAATATATAAGAATAGTCTAGATTATTATAATTATAGAAAAATTAATTATATAAAATTATAGTATTAACTAGTAGATAGTAAAGTATACTTATAAAAAAATAATATAAAATCTAATAAAATTATAAATAATTTAAAAAACTTAAAAACTTAATATTTTATATAATAAAGATACTAGGCCTCCTTTCTAAACTATAATAAAAGATAATTATATTTATAATATCTTTAAAAAAGAAGTAGAGAAAGTTATAAAAAATATAAATTTTATTAGATTTTAGTATAGAAATAAGTTTTATAAATTAATATTAAGTTAAATAAAATCTATCTCTAGATAGTAGTAGAGTATTAAAAAAAATATATATAATAAATAATTATAATATAATTTTATATAGAAGCTATATATTATTAGTTTATATAAAAAATATAAAAAATAAATTTAATAAATAATATTTAAAATTTAAAACTATTAATATAGATAAATATAATATAATTCTAGATTAAGACTAGCTAGAAGCTATTAATCTATTAATAAATTAATAAAATAGATTATAAAAATATTATAAAATAAAATCTATAAATCTAGAAATAATTATATCTATATAAGAATATACTATAGAAATTACTATAAAAATAAAAATATATTAAATAAAAGTCTAGTCTAAAAATAACTATCTTTAAATTAAAATTAATAGAATCTAAATAGTAGAGTTAGTAATTCTAGAGTAATATTATAATTTTATAGATATTTTTCTAGAGAAAGAAGCAGGCCTACTCTTATAATATTAGAAATAAAATTATATTATTAAACTAGAACTAGATAAAAGATCTTTATTAAAACTAATCTATTTACTATCTCTAAAAAAGCTGTAGATTTTATATAAATATATAGTAAAAGTATTTAAAAAAAGCTAGATTAAATTATTAAAGAGTTCTTATAAATTACTAGTATTATTTATATTAAAAAAAGATAATAATTTATATCTTTATATAAATTATTATAGATTAAATATTATTATTATTAAGAGTATATATCTATTATTATTATTAAATAAAATACTAGATTATCTAGGTATTATAAAAATCTTTATATAATTAGACTTATATAATATATATTATAGATTATAGATTAGAAAAGGATATAAATTATTAATAATATTTAAAATATATTTTAAAACTTATAAATATTAAGTTATATTTTTTAAATTAATAAATACTTCTAAAAATTTCTAATAATATATTAATTATATACTAGAGAATCTTCTAGATATTATTTATATAATATATCTTAATAATATTATTATATTCTATAAAAATAAAGAAAAATATAAAATATATATTTATATAATTTTAGAATAACTATAAAAATTTAAGCTATATGTAAAAATAAGTAAATATATCTTCTATATAGACTATATTAATTTTCTAGAATTTATAGTAACTATAAATAAAATAGAAATAAAAATTAAATAAATTATAGTAATTATTAACTAGCTAGTATTTTAAAATATAAAAAAAGTCTAATTATTTATTAGATTTATTAACTATTATTATTAATTTATCTATAAATTTAGTAAAATTATAGCCCTATTAAATAAAATAATAAAAAAAAATATAGAACTATATTTTTTACTAGAAAAAAAAGAACTTAAAATATTTTAAAATTTTAAAAATACTTTTTTCTTAAAATTATTATTATAATATTATAATCTAAAATTACCTATTAAAATTTAAATAGATATATTAAAATATATAATTTTAGATATTTTAAACTAGAAATTTAAAAATAAAAACTAGTATTTAATAGTCTTTTATTTAAAGAAATTAGAGAATATATAAATATATTATAGAATATATAACTAAAAGCTATTTATAATAATAAATAACTTTTATAAATAGTATTATTATTTTAAAAATAGCCTGTATATTATTAAAGTTTACTTTAATTATAATAATCTATACTAGTTTATAATAACTAAAAAACTATTCTTATATTAAATATATTATGCTAAAAAGTTAGTAGTATTTTATTTCTAAATCTATTATATTATAAATAAGAAGAACCCTATAAATAGTCTAACTAAATAGACTATAAATCTAGAGAAGAAGAAATAGATATATAAATAAACTATATTCTTAAAAAGCTATAAAAATAACTAAATAATATTAAATCTATAAAAAAAGAATTATACTTAGTTATATATATAGTAACTATTAAAAAAAAAATATATATATAAAGAAACTACTAGTAAGTCTATTAAAGTTACTTAAAATTAGCTAAAAATATAATAAAATAGTAAAAAATACTAGAGAAAATAAAAAAAATATAAAAAATAAAAAATAGAGTATTTCTCTAGATAAACTTATATATTTTAAAAATAAAATTTATATTCTATATTTTAAGATACTTTATATAAAAATTTTTAAGACTAATTATAATAATCTATATAATAGATATCTAGATAGATAAAGAATAATAAAAATTATTAAATATAAATATTACTAGCTAATAATAAACTAAGAAATTAAGAACTATATTAAAAAATATAATATATATTAGTAGATTATAGTATACTAATATAAACTTTATAATTTTATAGATAAACTTCTATAATTAAAAAATTTTATAAATTAGATAATAATAGATTTTATAACTAGGCTATCCTCTATAAAATATTAAGAAAAGATATATAATATTATTTTTATAATAGTTAACTACTTTACTAAATATATATTTTATATTTTATATATAAAGAGTATCTCTGTAGAAAACTTTATAATAATTTTTATTAAATATATATATATATATATATATATTAGAGTCCTAAGTAATATAATTAGTAATAAAGATAATATCTTTATAAATATATTCTAGTTAATACTCTACTATTATCTGAATTTAAGCTATAAATTAACTACTATATACTATCTATAAATAGATAGATAGATAGAATATTAAAACTAGATATTTAAGTATTATCTATATATCTATATAAATTAGAACTAAGATAACTAGCTATAATAGTTATTAATTATATAGTTTATCTATAATAAAATAACTAGATAAAATATAAATAAAAACTTTATATAATCTCTAATAAAATATTAACTATAATTTTAAATTAATATTAAAAATCTAGAGAAAAATATTATATAAAATATACTAGAATAAGTTAAATAATTCTAAAAAAACTATAAAAAACTAGCTAAATAACTAGAGAATATAATTAAAACTATAAAAAAATAATATAATAAAAAATATAAAAATATAAAATTTATAATTAATAACTTTATTATATTAAATATAAGAAATATTAACTAAGCTAGACTAAACTATAAATTAATTAACTAATATCTAGAATCTTTTAAAGTTATATATATATAGTATTAATCTTATAAATTATATTTATATTTTAAAATATACTAACTCTATAATATATTTTATATTTTCTTATTTTATAAATATATTAGAGATTTCTATATAGCTCTAAAACTAGAATTACTATTTATTAATAAAGAAAAAAAATATAAAGTTAAAAATATAATTATAGATTACTAGTATAAAGAATAACTTTAATTCCTAATTTAATAATATAGATAAGATTCTAGCTATAATATATAGAAACTATTTAATTATATTAGAGATACTATTATACTAGATATCTATAAAGAATAGTAATATCTACTATAAAAGTATAAAAGAGGAAGATTTATAATATTTATAAGCTATATAGAATTCTAAATTATAGAAAGAGAATTATTAATTTAAAAAAAAAAAAAATAAGAAAAATAAAAAAATATTTATTATTCCTGTAGGAGGCCCCTTCCAGGGACTTTTTAAAAATAGAAATCTCTAAAGAGAACCTTTTCTAAGAATTTTTAAAAATAAATAATCTATAGTATTATAACTAAAATATATAATACTAGAATACTAAGCATAAAATTATAAGATATTAGATAAAGATATAATAAATATAAATAAAAATAGTTATAAATAGTCTAGAAAGAGATTTTTATTCTAGCTAGTAATAAAGAGAGCTATATCTTTATCTCTTTTATAAAAATAAAATATATAATAATAAATAATAATCTCTAGTAAATTATAGCTACTTCTAATAATACTAGCCTAAAAAAATATTTTACTAGTAATAAAATATATTTTAGTAGTAACTACTATATAGTTTTAAAAAAGAGAATTAGTAAAATAATCTAGATCTAGTATAAAAAAATTAAAATATCTATTTTACTATAGAACTAGATACTATATTTATTATAATAATAAGTATTATACTACTCTAAAAAGCTACATAATATTATAAATAAATAAAGCTTACTATAAAAAAGGTATATATAGTATATAATAGCTAGAATAGAAGATATAAAATAAGAAATTAATAATATAAAAAAGAGAACTAAAAATATAAAGAAAAAAATATAAAAAAATAGTAAGAATAAGAATAAAAATATAGATATAAATATAAATAAAAAAACTAGAAAAAGACTTATCTCTAAAGAAATATTTATAATAAAATAAATAAGATATATCTTATATATATATAATATATTAGTAGTATAGGTAATAGTAGATTTCTTATATAGTAATATCTAAAAATATTATATTAGTAAGATTTTAAATATAGAAATAATTATAAAACTAGACTAATTAAAAATTAGAAATAAGAAAATAAAATATTATAAAATAATAATAAAATACTAAGAATCTTAATAATAATATTAGTATAATTTATAAAGTAAAATAACTATTAAAAATAGAAATTAATATAGAAAAATATATAGAATAATATATTTAAAGCTTAAACTAATTAGATAAAACCCTATAAAGAACTAAATAATTAAAAAGATAGAGTATAGATATATTATATATAGATAAAACTTTTAATAATAATATCTTTATAAGTTTTTAAGTAAAATAACTAGTAAAAAGCTTATTTAAATTATAGATATTAAGAGAATCTAAATACTAAATATTAGTATAATTATCTAAGATATAGTTAAAAAATAATAATATAAAGTTTCTATTATTAGACTAATATATTATTATATTAATCTATAATATAGTATTAAAAGATTTAATTTAATCCAGGAAAATATTAATAAGATTTATAAAATTAAAATAATTA